GGTGATGGTAATGGTGATGTAGGGGGTAGCTGTGGTGATGGTAATGTAGAGGCTAGAGGTTGGATGTTGATGTAGGGTGGGTGTGTGTGTGAGAGTGCCTGAATGTGTTTGCGTGCTTGAGTGTTAGCGTGTGTGCGTGAATATGAGATGCAGTGGCTAGGGGTGGTGATGGTGATGTAGGTGGTAGTGATGGGGATGGTGATTTAGTGGTTAGTGGTGGGGATGGTGATGGTGATGGTGATATAGAGGCTAGCGGTTGGATGTTGATATAGGATGTGTGTGTGAGTGCCTGCGTGTTGGTGTGTGCGAGCGTGCGTGCGAGCGTGCGTGTGTGTGCTTGTGTGTGTGTGTGTGTGTGATGTAGGTGGTAGCGGTGGTGATGTTGATGTCGGGGGTTGCGAAGGGGATTGTTATATATATATATATATATATATATATATATATATATATATATATATATATATATATATATATATATATATATATATGGGTGTGTGTGTCCGCGTGAGTGCCTGTGTGTGTGTGTGTGTGTGTGCGTGTGCGCACGCATTCCTGCGTGCGTGCGCGCGTGTGTACTACTGAATCCACTTGTTACCATGTGAGCTAAAACGCTTCTATCAACCCTAGCGTGCGAGATCAAAGGTCACTGTGTGAACGTCAACGCCACCCTGGTCCACGAGTGTGTGACGTACAAATGCCAGCTGCTCTACAGAAACAACGACCCGGAAGAGCCGATCTATCAGTACCTGATAGAGAGCTCAGGTGAGTTTAGCTGACTACTTAATTAAATAAATATAGACCAGTAATGTTCTTTTATTTCTTTATCGTGATCTTACCATACATCCTGTGAAGAACTTGCCGTGTTCAATAGGCCTGGATATTTTTAATAGGAGCCCCAAAACCTCAGATAAAAACAATTTCATTGTGCATTAATGTGTCTCGATTAAAGTAAGTAACATCATCCTTAGCATGATGGAAATTCACGCGACAATTATTTTTTAATACCAAAGCACTACTAGACCTAGTACAACACCTTTCATGCAGGCCCACTAGAATTTTACCTGAGGGTCCACTGGGATTTTTCTCAGTAGACTGGCGGGCCGGTCCACCCCTGCCCACACCCATAATCAGTATTTTTATTTGGGGCGCGTTACCTTTTTTTTCATAATTTACATATCAATTAACTTAAGGTTCTGTATAATGGTATGTGCTTAAAATAAGACGCTATTAATCTTAAGTAATGTAGGTAAATTTCCTCTAGCTGCCACTGAAAATATTTGCTTTATGCTTTAAAACACTAACCCCCCCCCCCTTTCCCCTAACCCCGACTCCGTGAAAGCAGCCTCCTCTTAGTTATTTCATAGTTACCTCCTGTATGTTTAAAATCGAACTAAATTATCTATCCCTAATAGAAACCCGGCTCTAAGGCTCTACGATTTGTAAACATTTAGCTTTGTAAACATTCAGCGTGACCACAACTCACCAGACAATGTGGGGGTGGGGTGGTGGTGGTAGTGATAGTGATAGAGAGAAAGAGAGGGGGCTGCAAGGAGGCGCTTGCAGCTTGTTTTCTAACGGCTCCCAGAAGAGAATTATATATATACGAGCCGACCCGCGGTGTATCATACGCCGCTATTTAGTTGTTGTTTTTTTCTACTTTTCAGTAATTCATAATTTGTGAATTCGACAGTACCAATGCTGCTACTGAAAATATTTGCTTTACAACACTAACCCACCCCCCCCCCCCTCTCCCCGTGAAAGCAGCCTCCTCTTAGTTACCTCCTCTAAGTTTAAAATCGTTTCAAACTAAATTATCTGCCCCTAATAGCCGTCACCAAACCCAGCTCTACGATTGTAAAATGTAAACATTTATTTAGCGTGAACCACAGCTCACCAAACCATGTGAGGGGGTGGGGGGTGGTAGCGACAGAGAGGAAGAGAGGGGATTGCAAGGCGCGTTTGCAGCTTGTTTTCTAACGGCTCCCAGAAGAGAATTATATATATATAGATAGATGGTTTCAATGAGAATTTATGAGCCTGCCTTACCATTCTTGATTGTTTTCAAAGTTAAAAAATCAGATGCTGGTCATAATTTGATAGGATCAGCATCTATTTTTGTACACATAATAAATTCGTTGAGGATAATAGTTTCCCTATAAAAACCTAACGATGCATAGTCCAGATGAAGAAGAGTGCGTCTGCTTTTTGGCCTCGGCATATAAAGCGATGGTGTGATCAGCACTATCCTCAGCCGCCTTTACTTTTCCTAACGTGAGTCAGGTACCCATCTGATCTGGTTGGGCGCAGGTACCTCCTGCAGATTCAACCCGGACCGATATCCCGAACTCAAGACTTTCGATTTAGCAGTGGAACGCTCTACCACATAACCACTGAACGTGTGTGTTCGATGATAGTCCATGGGCCGGCACAACATAACGAGACGCTTCTTCTTTTTCTTTGTTCTTAATTTTAGTGTTGGAAGTGATCCCCTCCAACATAATTAAGGATACGTATCAACTGGTTATGCACCCTTGAGGCCATTGACTCCGATCTCAGCCTGCTTTTCTTTCTGGATTTGCTTCCATAGCCTTTGTCCAACCAAGAACAAACTACAAGGCAGCAGTTGTTTTATTTTACAGTTGTGGAGATTTTGGAGTGGCTGTCCCCAGCTAACGAGCCTCAACTGCCTGAGGGTTCAAACTCGAGACTTTTCGGTTTAGCAACCATGAGCTTTACCGACTCGACCACGCCGACTCCAAAAATAACCCATGGGTCGACTGATGAAAATAAAAACCTAATTACTTTCTCCTTCCAGAGTGCCAAGACCTGTACGGGAACTGCCACCCTGAGTTGACACAGATCACACGGAACCACTACGGCCGGGTCTTCGACCACTGTTACTGCCGGACTACACCGGGCATGGAACCAACTTACGAATGTCCATGATTTGACCAGCGTCATACAGACTAGGGAGAGGGGCGGGGGGGGGGGGGATTCTTTAAATGACGACAGTGTTTATTTCAGACTTTTCTCTGCCGAAGAGAGGGGGGAGAGGTACACCTAAAACATTCGGTGGGCGGATTAAATCTTCCAGGGGTAGGGGACACTTGAAAAATTATATTTCGTTCTGGGAGGGGGGTGGGGATAGAGATGCCTGAAATAAACACTGGGGTTGAACCTGTAAACGTCCCCATACACTGGGGTGGGGTGATTCAGATTTTGTGACTGTGGTGAAATGGGGTAGGGGTGGGTTGATAGATTGAGGGGGGCATGATTCGGTGGCGTCAGAGAGGGGGGGGGGGGGGTGTCATGTGACTGATAGAAGTGGTGGGTGGGAATCTGCTTACAAAGCATGACGTCACCACTGGACGATAGAGTGTAGGCATTGAACCTTGAACAGCCGGTGTGTCGACACGTTGATATTGAAATAAACAATTAATGAAAGTGTATAACAAAAAACAACTTTGTCTTGAGTATTTCATTTTTTATGTTACATATCGCACACAAATAGAAGAGTTTTGACCCCCAACCTCCCCTCTCCCCCCCCCCCACACACGTTCAACCCCAGAACATGTTATATAACAACGACAAATACCATTAGCCATTGTAAAACAATTATAAATAACCCCCTCAATAGATGTAATAGAAACTTTAAAAACTTTAAGCTGATGTGTGTTCTATTTTTAATAAATATCTATAACCTCTAGAATATATATATATATATATATATATATATATATATATATATATATATATATATATATATATAAATGCACGATGCATCTGCTTAGTCAACGACAGTTACACAGAAACACCAAACTACGGTTGTTCGAACTCAGTGGCAACTAATTTCGGCTGCCGTTAATTATCTCCCGCTCGTAAATCAACACGTCTAAACATTAAGCAAGGGAAATAATTGACTATCAACTTGCGATTATTTATTAATTGATGTAACATACGCTTCATTTTAAATATTTAACATATTATTAATTATTGTATTACTACTTTAAATGATAATACAATATTATTGCGATTTATGCAAAATTATATGCTTTTATAAGATAAACTATTAAAAGCAGCTGTTAGATTTAAATGTAAATACGATCAGTTATTTTTAACATGAGTACTATTTAAAACATAATTTCAGAATTTAAATTTGGTTAAAAAAGGATTTTCACAATTTCCTGTAGGCTTTGAAATGCCATTATTCTGTCTTAAAATAAAAAAAAAAAAAAAAAAAAAAAAAAAAAAAAAAAAAAAAAATTATTCTATGTCTTAAAAAAAAAAAAGAAAAACATACACTCTGTCACACATTAAAACAGTATTTCAAAAACAGAATAATAATATAATAAAAAAAAACAAGAAAAAAAAAAAAAACATTACAATCCTTCAACCACCACGCCGAGGGAAAAAAAATCCCTTATATCATATTTTAATTACACATTTGCATATTCAGGTTGTTTTGTTTTATTTTTGTTTTATTTTTTTATATTTAGACGTTTTTGTATTAGATCTATGTATAAGTAAACCATCTTAAATTAATGAAAGCAGACTACAAGTAAGAAAGAAATATTACTATTGTAAATCTGTACCAGTCCTCACAAGCAGGTGATAAAAACTGTAATACTAAAGCGAACACACAACTGACGCAGTTAATTACATGTCTGAGGCAAAAAAAAAAAAAAAAAAAATGCTGAGTTTCAGACTCAATTTGCCAAAATTATTTGTTGCCAGGAGACTGAGTTTAAAAGGGTCTACAACTATGGAGAAGTGAATGTTTGGTTTGCCACATTAGCTGTGTTTCTTCCAGACTTTTTTCTCCGGGGGGGGGGGGGGGCACTTGAAATTTTCGGGGGGGGGGGGGTGGCGGTAGACTTTCTTCGGGGGGGGGGGACACTGTTAAAAGTATATATTTTCTATATAAATTATATAAATTTCATTTCGTTCGGGGGGTGGGGGGGGGGGGCTGGAGGAAACTCTGCACATTAGGTTCAAGAAAAATGTACGAGAGTCTCATGCTCACTGAATTCTACGAGCCAAAGACACTAGCAAATGAAAGAACCCATATGTTGGTAAGAGTTAGCGTCACTCATTATAAAAAGAACTGTATTGAAGTTAAAGGTCGCTGCGATGCGTTTCCCTTGGAAACAGCCCTACAGGGCCTATGTGAAGAGGAGACCTCCCTTAACCCAACCCTAGCCCTAACCCTAAACCCTAACCCAACCCTAGCCCAGCTCTAACTCTAGAGGCGGTTAATGAGTTTTTTTGTTTTTTTTTTTATGGCGAGTCTTAAAAATTACATATTCAAATTACTACACATCATTAATAGGTCAAGGTTGCGTGAGTTTATTAAATGGACCTGCTAAACGTTGCTTATATTTTCGCCCGTGTACTTTTTGTATTAGTGGCGGGGCTCATTTGGCTATGGTCCAAGACAGATTGAAATACTAGTACTTTGAAACTATACAAATTTGATTTATTTGTGGAAAAAACGAATTTGATGAACCTTGAATATATATATATATATATATATATATATATATATATATATATATATATATATATATATATACATATATATATTCTACTATATCATTTTTATTTTCCTTATAGACTATTTGAATGTATGGCTGACGGTTACAGAGCCCACGCGACACACCTCATGTTTATTCAAAAATCTGAGCGTGTTAACTTCTATCGGTTTTATGAGATCGATCATTCTCGGTCGTATTCGTGCACATTTAGACACGAAACACAAATATGATAGGTCTACAAAATAAACCACTCAATCAATCATCAGGGGCTTGGTTAGGATGGTAGTTTATAATGTTATTATATTTTTCTATTATTCGCCGAACTAAGTTATTTGAATGTATGTTGTCGCTAGTAATCAGTGGCGTAACCAGGAATTGGTCATGGGAAGGATTCAAAAATGTTTCCAGACGTATATATATATATATATATATATATATATATATATATATAGGGGTCCATGGGAGGGGTTATAACCCCCCCCCCCCCCCCCTAACCCCACACTTGCCTAAGCCACTGCCAGTAATGAATATTTTAAAATAATTTAACTTTAAACTTAAGATTAATAATAATATTAGCATTTCTTATAGCCTTGATTAAACGATTAAAACAACGTTCTTGTTAATATTAAAGTAAAGGAGTAAAAAATCCTCTTTAGTCTTCGAGATCTCCTTGGGCAAATGAAATAGAGTTCATGTTTCTTTGTGAATATTAGCTCTACGAATACTAACAATGATAAGTGATTGGAACAGAAAAAAATTTGTCTAAAAGGTCAAAAGCAAAACCTAAACAATAACCACGCCTATGGTGGGTTTTTAGTACATATTCCTGCTATCCGATATCCTCATTTCGACCATTCAAAATCAGTGAGACCCACTACATAAGGGCAATAAATATTGTATCAACATGAGTTACGTGCCCGCTTCAATAGCGCCAACCTCTAAAAACCGACAAGTAACGTCAATATTTAACACCAGCACACAATCCAGTACGGCTTTCGTCCGTGACCTTCGCTCTTGGCGTTTTGTGACGTCACTAAACCGAAGTTAAGGATCCACCTGATTTAACAATCTGATTGGTTTAAAAACTTAAATAAATGAATGGCAATCAGAATTCTCCTAGTTAGCCTGAGTCTGAGTTGGAAAACTATTGACTTGTAATATTCTTATTAATGTATATTTATACATTTTCTTCATTGTGCTAATTGTGAGTTCATTTTTTTCTATATCTAATTCGTTGTCGCAATCTTATGAAAATGTATTCATTTATATTCATTTTTAATTTATCTTAAAAGCCATCCAAAAATCAAAGTAAACAAGAAATTTTTTTTTTTTTTTTTTTTTTTTTTTTTTTAAAGTAAACTAGCCGTCCCGGCCAGGCCCTGCTCTGGCTTCTGTGAAAAACCTTTCTGTTAAAGACCATTACCTGTGTGTTTAGTAATCATCATAAACCCGGCATTGCACACCCAAACCAAAACCAAAACAACAAAACGCAAACATAACGCTAAAACAATTACAAATACAAACGAAAACAAAAACCTAACAACTAACCCAACCACAACCACAAACACCAATACGAACACAAAGACAAAAACAAACGAAAAAGCAAACGAAAACAAACCAAATCCAAATGCAAAACCAACCACAAACCCAAAGAAAAAAACACAAACGAAAAAACAAACGAAAACAAACCAAATACAAACGCAAAACCAACCACAAACACAAATACAAACACAAACGCAAAGAAAATAAAGCACAAACGAAAACGAAAAAAGAAAGAACAAAAACGAACCAAATCAAAACGCAACCACTAACGCAAACCCAACCTAAACACAAAGAAAACACTAACGCGAACATAAACGCACAGTGCTCAGAGTCTAGCCCGGGGCGGAATCGCCTGTTTCAGCTTAATAAACGACTATAGTACCCCAACTTATTCATAGTCTTTTGCACTCACTTTAATGAACGTAGGCGCGAAACCGAACACGGGAGGCCCGGGACCCCAAATAGCACCCTGTCTGGGCGCCAGAGGACGCACCATGACGTCACCGCCTGATTGAACTTAGTAAACGACTATAGTACATAACTTATTCATAGTCTTTTGAACTCACGCGAACATATATACCATAGCGTACACCGGAAGGCCCGGGGCGCCAAATAGCACCCTGTCGGGGTGCCGGAGGACGCCCGGATTTGATTCACTTAAAGACTATAGTAACCTTTCTTACCCATAGTCTATCGCACTGTTAAAAACAAAACTATGCAGCATAGCGCTCACATGATAGCCCAGGGTGCCAAATCGAACCGTGCAAGGGCGCCGGCGGACGCGCCTGTTTCAATTTAGTGAACAAAAATGATAATACTCCAAGCTTATCCGTAAATGGAAAGAAATAAACATATAGGATTTGTAGGACCTGGCTTATTAAATGTTATTGATTTAAAAAAAAAAAAATATTGAACAGTATGTTCAGTGTATAGAATAAATAAGAGGCAGTGTTAAAAATACCTAACGACATTGCACTTAATCAATCCCCGCTAATTATGTAATTATTTTTTTTTCTTAACACCAAAAACAAAGTAATAAAATGTAAATTCTTTCTTCTTAAGAATTTTTTTTATTAAAGGGAAGTAACTGTGCAGTCAATACATTTCCGACACAATTTTAGAAATTTTATAAACGTCGATACACTTTTTAAAAATTTTATGTCGTGTTCATAATTGAAAATTATTCGTCTAAGTAAATAGAATGAAAATTGTTTTAAAGACTTTCAATGGTAATTTTTTGACTCGTAAATTTAGACTGTGAGCACGATAAAAAATCCAACACTTAAATCCATAGAACTGTCAACGACAAACTTTTTTGCCACACGTTACAGAACTGAGCTTTATATATTAGACAAGAAATGTTTCTAGAAAATTAGAGTTAATGCATTTTTACTATTGAACAAATATCTAGTTACAATATGCAAAATAATAATAACTTTAAATGTTGTTATTTTACTGTTTTGTATTTTTTAAATAAAAGTAATTTTAAATAAAAGAATAATTGTTTTTAAGCATTATTTTTTCCAGTTAAGCAAATGTTCTATTTTATACGTTATTCCATTTTTTAAATTGATATTAGTCCTTAAGGTTAACCAATGACGTAAGGAAAAAATGACTCAGTAGCTCTGAATAACTAATTATCTCCCTTAGGTTGCTCTATCCTCCCCTACACAAATGCAACTTATTTTGTTGACTGGCTACCTTGTTCTGACCTTGCTAGAACCCGCGGACTCCACGGTAAGCTTTTGGCTAGAACAACCTGCTGGAGTAAAAAAAAAACATTAAGGTAACATTTGGAACCGGGCGATCCATGGGCAGGTGAAGCAGAGTTTAACTGTTACAGTGACCTTGGCATGTGACCTTGGCATGTGTGTAGTACCTCCTCGTAGTGTGTGTGTGTGTGGGAAGGGATGACTAAATGTCACTAAAAAATTAAGTTCCTCTTTAGACCCAGCGATCTATTGCGCAGATGAATAAGAGTTGTTTTGTTGTTGTTTTTTTACCTCTGTATATGCCGGGATAACACTATGAATAGCACTATGCCAAGCCGCCTTTACTTTCCTAAACGTTAGTCAGGTACCCATCAGAGCTGGGAGGACTCTGAGACATCCTGCTGACCGAGATCCGAACTCGAGACCTCCGATCTAACTGACGATCGCCCTATCATTTGACCAGGCCATTCCACCGTTAGTAAAAGTGCTAAATTATTTTTTGGTATTGTACTCCGTACGTCATTTACAAATATTCCTATCTTTATCCAGCTAAACCATCAGCCCAGCGTAAATGTATTCCCTATTTTATAATTTTATCATAGGTAAACCATAAGCACATCGTATAAATATTCCTAATCCTATCATAGCTAAACCCAGTTGCGTAGCGAGGGGGGGGGGGGTGCGGGGGGGGGAGGACATATGTCTCCGGGCGCCGAACTTAGGGGGCGCCAAAATGGGTTGGAAAAATATATTGAAAGGTTGAGGGGGGTGCAAATTGAAAGTTTGAGGGGGGGGGTGGAAATCAAAATCTCGAGGGGTGGGGGGTGCAAATTGAAAGTTTGAGGGGGGGGGGGGGGTAGCAAATCAAAATCTCAAACGGGGGGGTGCAAATCGAAAAGTTTGTCCCCGGGCGCCGGGAAGGGTCGCTACGCCTCTGGCTAAACCATCATCTCAACGTACAAATACTCCTAATTCTATTATAGCTAAACCATCATCCCAGCGTACAAATATTCCTAATTCTGTCATATCTAACCCATAAGCCCATCGTATAAATACTCCTAATTCTATTATAGCTAAACCAAGAGCCCATCGTATAAATATTCCTAATTCTATCACAGCTCAACCGAGAGCCCAACGTTAAAATATTCCTAATTCTATCATAGCTCACCATCATCCCAACGTTAAAATATTCCTAATTCTATCATAGCTCAGCATCATCCCAACGTTAAAATATTCCTAATTCTATCATAGCTAACCATCATCCCAACGTTAAAATATTCCTAATTCTATCATAGCTCACCATCATCCCAACGTTAAAATATTCCTAATTCTATCATAGCTCACCATCATCCCAACGTTAAAATATTCCTAATTCTATCATAGCTAACCATCATCCCAACGTTAAAATATTCCTAATTCTATCATAGCTCACCATAAGCCCAACGTTAAAATATTCCTAATTCTATCATAGCTAACCATCATCCCAACGTTAAAATATTCCTAATTCTATCATAGCTCAGCATCATCCCAACGTTAAAATATTCCTAATTCTATCATAGCTAACCATCATCCCAACGTTAAAATATTCCCAATTCTATCATAGCTCAGCATCATCCCAACGTTAAAATATTCCTAATTCTATCATAGCTCACCATCATCCCAACGTTAAAATATTCCTAATTCTATCATAGCTTACCATAAGCCCAACTTTCACTAAAGCCACCACAATCATTGAAGGAACAGCTACCAACAAGATTCTAACCACCATTGAATGTAAGGACAGCGATGGTGACTTGACGTTTGTCTCTGTCAAGTCAACATTTCCAGTTAGTCCGTGCACTAATTGTTTTGAGGTGCTAAAGTGTGGTACAGGTGAGTGTAGGTGTGTGGTACAGGTGAGTGTAGGTGTGTGGTACAGGTGAGTGTAGGTGTGTGGTACAGGTGAGTGTAGGTGTGTGGTATAGGTGTGTATAGGTGTGTGGGGTGTTAAAGTGTGGTACAGGTAAGTGTAGGTGTGTGGGATGTTAAAGTGTGGTACAGGTGAGTGTAGGTGTGTGGGGTGTTAAAGTGTGGTACAGGTGAGTGTAGGTGTGTGGTACAGGTGAGTGTAGGTGTGTGGTATAGGTGTGTGTAGGTGTGTGGGGTGTTAAAGTGTGGTACAGGTAAGTGTAGGTGTGTGGTATAGGTGTGTGTAGGTGTGTGAGGGTTAAAGTGTGGTACAGGTAAGTGTAGGTGTGTGGGGGTTAAAGTGTGGTACAGGTAAGTGTAGGTGTGTGGGGTGTTAAAGTGTGGTACAGGTAAGTGTAGGTGTGTTGGGTGTTAAAGTGTGGTACAGGTAAGTGTAGCTGTGTGGGGTGTTAAAGTGTGGTACAGGTAATTGTAGGTGTGTGGGGTGTTAAAGTGTGGTACAGGTAAGTGTAGGTGTGTGGGGTGTTAAAGTGTGGTACAGGTAAGTGTAGCTGTGTGGGGTGTTAAAGTGTGGTACAGGTAAGTGTAGGTGTGTGGGGTGTTAAAGTGTGGTACAGGTAAGTGTAGGTGTGTGGGGTGTTAAAGTGTGGTACAGGTAAGTGTAGGTGTGTGGGGTGTTAAAGTGTGGTACAGGTAAGTGTAGGTGTGTGGGGTGTTAAAGTGTGGTACAGGTAAGTGTAGGTGTGTGGGGTGTTAAAATGTGATACAGTTAAGTGTAGGTGTGTGGGGTGTTAAAGTGTGGTACAGGTAAGTGTAGGTGTGTGGGGTGTTAAAGTGTGGTACAGGTAAGTGTAGGTGTGTGGGGTGTTAAAGTGTGATACAGATGAGTGTATTTGTGTGGTACAGGTGTGTGAAGGTGTGTGGGAAGTTAAATGCGCGTGTGTAGTTGGGGGCTTATATAAGTACTGATAGGGGTTGTATAAGTACAGGTGTAAGGGTTATATTTGTACATATATGTGGGCTGTTTGAGTAAAAATGGGGGGGGGGTATGTAAATATGTAAGTACACGTATGGTTGCTATAGAAGTACAAGTATGGGGTTTATGTGTGTACAGATGAATTGGTTATATAAGTATTCGCGCGTTTGTTTGTTATGTAATGACGTGGATGTTTGTTATGTAATGATGCGGGTGTTTGTTATGTAATGATGTTGGTGTTTGTTATGTAATGATGTTGGGGCTGTATGTCTACAAATGTATGGCTTATATAAATATAGCTCTGAATGTTTTATATGTAATATAACTCCTTGAGTTCATAACATAAGTATCACTGTTAACTTTTACTTTGTACCCACTTTCCACCACCCCCACCAGCCTCATGTCTACAGTACCGAGCTGGGGTTGGAACCCTGGACTACACCTCGGCACAATCGTACCTGGTCACCGTCTCGTGCACGGACAACAAGGAGACGCCGGTCACAGAGGTCATCGAGGTCAAGGTCATACCAAACTCACCCCCGTACTTCGTCCCTGACGCATTGAATGGTGAGTGAATCTGCTTGCGTGTAAAGACCTACTTTGTGAACCCTAGTGTGTTGTACAGATTGTTGAATGGTGAGTGAACCTGTCTGCGTGTAAAGACCTACTTTGTAAACCCTAGTGTGTTGTACGGATTGTTGTATAGCGAGTGAACTTGCATGCGTGTAAAGACCTACTTTGTGAACCCTAGTGTGTTGTACGGATTGTTGTATAGCGAGTGAACTTGCCTGCGTGTAATGACCTACTTTGTGAACCCTAGTGTGTTGTACGGATTGTTGTATAGCGAGTGAACTTGCCTGCGTGTAATGACCTACTTTGTGAACCCTAGTGTGTTGTACGGATTGTTGTATAGCGAGTGAACTTGCCTGCGTGTAAAGACCTACTTTGTGAACCCTAGTGTGTTGTACGGATTGTTGTATAGCGAGTGAACTTGCCTGCGTGTAATGACCTACTTTGTGAACCCTAGTGTGTTGTACGGATTGTTGTATAGTGAGTGAACATGCCTGCGTGTAATGACCTACTTTGTGAACCCTACTGTGGTGTACGGATTGTTGTATGGTGAGTGAACCTGCCCGCGTGTAAAGACCTACTTTGTGAACCCTAGTGTGTTGTACGGATTGGTGTGTAAACGTGTAGAAGTGTTATAAGCTGGCATTATTACTGGAATAACAAATACCAGTATTGACATAGAGTATTATTCCTGTCACACTACAAACAGTTTCAACGACTATGGCTTCCTCGTTATCAGCTGGTAAAGTTGTTTACACGGTGGTTGCCAAGGACAACGAAACGGACAGTCTCACCTACAGTCTCAAGGTCGTGCCGCCATCTTCCTCTGATAACTACGAAATAAATAAATGTAGGTATTGTCCGCCCTCCTCCCTCCCCCGAAAAGAGTCTACCTACCCCACCCCCTCCCCACCTCCCACCCCCCCCCCCCCCACCACAAAACGAAATGGAATTTATATAGACAATATATACTTTTAACAGTTTCCGCCCCCCGGAAGTTTTAGTCCGCCCCCAAAATAATTTCAAGTGCCTCCCACTGCCCCCACCCCAGGAGAAAAAAAAAGTCTTGAAGAAACACTGATAGTTCACTTGAAGAATTCACATTATAAACTCGGTCAAAAATTACCGTAAAACTCCTGAAATTTCGTATTTCAATTCGCAGTCACTGGCGAGATTAAAACGAAGGTCCCCCTCAAGGCCGAATGTCGCAGTGACGTCACGTTTCTGGTGACGGTTAACGACGGTAAAAACACAGTCGGGCCGCTTGTCATTGACGAAGTCATTACAAGTAAGTAACTAATTAGGCCAACATTTAATTCACACTGTAATGAAATTTTCTTGCTTAAAATATTAGGGCCATTCGATAATTTAACTTTTATAAGACAGAATCACTACATCGTTTAGTTTAGATTTTTTTTCGACATTACAGCTATATAAGTACTTATATTGTTAAATTCTTAGTTTCTTTTTATACATTCTTAGATATTTAAAATATGTATTTCTTTATCTTAGAGTTATTTAAAACCTAAAAGTAGACCGCAAATAGACTTTCTTTACAGGTTTCTTGTTCATTTCATTTAAAATGGCTTTAATTACACGAACACATTACTAAAGTCATTATAGCTTTTTACTAAGTGTGTAGTTTGAACTCATTATTGTAGCAATTTAAATTTCAAGAAAATTGTTAACACAGTCACAAAACTGTAGAGCCTACTTTATATCTGTCCCATTGAGAACCGAACTTGGCACCTGTGGCTGTCAACCTTGACACGACTATCCAAGTGCCAGAAGACACGTCGGGTATCGTGTTCACCATGCTTACGAACGACGCCAACATCAAGGACACGTTGACCTACACCATCACCACAACCAACTCTGCCGGCTTGGCCCAGTTTCAGATTGACAGTAAGATGGCCTTTTTTCTACTTTTTGAAATGGCCACATTTAAGAACCATTTTAAAATGGCCAAAATATAAGGTCTATTGTACTGAGTTTCTTCCAGGCATCTCGAAAAAAGTCTAGAGCCCTTCCCCCCCCCCCCCACCCCCGAACGAAATGGAATTTATATAGTAAATATATACTTTTAACTTTTTCCGCCCCTTCGGAAATTTTTAGGCCCCCCCCCTCCACCCAACCCCCAATTATTTATTTTTTTAATTTTCTCCCCACCGGAGAAAAAAAGTCTGGAAGAAACTCTGCTATTGTAAAATATAAAAGAAAAATCCTGATCGCACAAGAAAGTATTCCATTAATATGAGCGAGTAACACTTATACAATTATCAATATTAGCATACGTTTTCTTGTTCGTTCAAAAGACACATGGGGAAGATGAAGTAGAGTTCATCTGTTTCAATAATATTACGTCGCACATTTTAAACTTATTTCTTCTGTCAGATGTGACAGGCGTTATAGATGTGGCCAAGCCTCTGGACTATGAAAACACGGCGCTACGCATGACTGATCTCGTGGTCCAGGCTTCAGATGGCTACTGTACATCGCCCAAGTACCAGCTGCACCTGCAGGTAATGCATGAGTGAGCAGAGGTTAAAGGTAGGGGGAAAGGCATTCCTGTAAGACACATTTCGGTGAGACACCTTCTGACACATTTATCTGAAACACATCTGCAAGACACATTATGTAAGACATATTCTCTAAGACAAATTCTATAAGACACATTTCTGTAAGACACATTTATCTGAAACACATCTGCAAGACACATTATGTTAGACATATAATCTAAGCGAAATTTCTGTAAGGCACATTTATCAAAGACACATTAATTAAAATATGTTTGACATAATCATGTTGCACACAAGTATATTCTTACATTCACATGTTATATACATGTGCTACATAACGTGTGCTAGATATACTTGGGTCTGATGTATGTGTGTACATTTTTGTGCACCAAAAGAACACGCAATGTGTACATTGTATTTCAGGTCACCGATGTAAACGAAGCCCCTACAATATCCCCTGACGTCATCAATATGAACGTCTGTGAAGGAAAGGTGACGTCACATTTGCACGTTTACGGGAATGCAATTTTTATTTTGTTTAATAAACTAAACACAGTGACAGAATGCAGGAATTCTAACCCAAATTAATCCAGTTCGGATATATATATATATATATATATATATATATATATATATATATATATATATATATATATATATACATATACTTTTTTAGACGTAAGGCTTTTTAACGCCTGTCGTTACATAATTTTTTATTCTGGTGACCTTTGAACTCTGGTTTCCAGAAAACCTTCAGCCCAGGCTACAAGCTCACAGACCCGGATACCATTGACACACAGAGGTGGTACTTTGACAAGTCCAACTCTGACCCTAACGGCTACTTCAACATTGACGCCAAGACAGGTGACCTGATGACGCTGCTGGACTATGACGTGGATCCACTGAAGCCGATGCCAGTCTCGAACACTTTCAGAGTTGTGGTAGGTCAATGGATGGGGGGGGGGGGGGGGGGAGGGTGACACTAGGGGAGTGTGAGATTGGGGGTGAGATTGGGGGTGTGAGATTGGGGGAGTTTGTGAGATTGGGGAGTGTGAGATTGGGGGAGTGTGACATTGGGGGGGTGAGATTGGGGGTGAGATTGGGAGTGTGAGATTGGGGGTGAGGTTGGGGGTGTGAGATTGGGGGAGTTTGTGAGATTGGGGAGTGTGAGATTGGGGGAGTGTGACATTGGGGGTGTGAGATTGGGGGAGTTTGTGAGATTGGGGAGTGTTAGATTGGGGGAGGGTGACACTAGGGGAGTGTGAGATTGGGGTGAGATTGGGGGTGTGAGATTGGGGGAGTTTGTGAGATTGGGGAGTGTGAGATTGGGGGAGTGTGACATTGGGGGTGTGAGATTGGGGGTGAGATTGGGAGTGTGAGATTGGGGGTGAGATTGGGGGTGTGAGATTGGGGGAGTTTGTGAGATTGGGGAGTGTGAGATTGGGGGAGTGTGACATTGGGGGTGTGAGATTGGGGGAGTTTGTGAGATTGGGGAGTGTTAGATTGGGGGGAGTGTGAGATTGGGGGTGTGAGATTGGGGGTGTGAGATTGGGGGTGTGAGATTGGGGGAGTTTGTGAGATTGGGGAGTGTGAGATTGGGGGAGTGTGAGATTGGGGGTGTGAGATTGGGGGAGTTTGTGAGATTGGGGAGTGTTAGATTGGGGGAGTGTGACAATTGGGGTGTGAGATTGGGGGAGTTTGTGAGATTGGGGGGATTGTGCGTATTAAGGTCCAATAGAAATATCCAGTGATGAAGGTTCGGACACAAGTTGCAGTTTATACTTGCTTTTTTTATACTGATAGTTCGATGCACATGCTGTGGGTTATGGGTTGGGGGGGGGGGGTGTCAGAACCACTTCCCAGAAAAATACCTGAAAGAAATACTGCGCATGCGCCCTCGTCAAAATAAATTCCTTACATGTAACACCAGGTGGAGGACAAAGGTGGACTCACCGCCACGGCCAAGGTCACGGTCAACTTCACGGAGTGTAACGACCACGCCCCTGTGTTCGATGCGCCTGGCTATGAGGCTAGTGCCTCGGAGTGTTCCGGCGCAGGTTAGTCGGTGCAATTATCTAGGTCAGTAGGTCGATTTATTTTAGTTCAGAAGGCCACACCAGTGTATATTATAGATCTATGTTTTTAACAAACCATTTAAAATAATTAAAAGGTTATTGCTGTTTACGTGTTTTTATGACCTTAAATCTCATAATAACACACTAATGCATTACATAATGTCTCTCTAATGTCATATAACGCCTCAAAAGAAACATCTCCCCATACTATATTATCCAGTTGAAAAACAGTTGGAGGGGTTGGTTGGTGCGGGTTGGGGGGCGGGGGTGTCAATAATGGACATATACTCCTCAACACCACCAGCAATGAAACAAATTTAAAAAATGCATCTAAATTATCTTTTTTTTTTAATTATATAATAACATTTTCTTTTTTCAACGCCTTAAAAAAACATAATTATCACTACAAAAAGGCATGTTATATGGTATGTTTTCTTTGTAAATACAACTATACGTATAGCGCCGTGAGGTGTTCTTATAGAGTCTTGTGTTACACGTATAGCACCATGGGATGTTGTACCAGTATAGCACCATGGGATTTTGTCATAGAGTCTTGTGTCACAGGTTCCAGACTAATCAGGATCCGTGCCACTGACAACGACACATCACGTGACGATAACAACGTCATCTACTACCAGTAAGTGGCATCACTTTAAGGGTGGTTTGTTAACATTGGTCCGTAAATCAATGTTAAAAGTGTACGGGTAGTTTAACACTGGTTTATACAACGAAGTTAACATTGTTCTAGATTCTAGAGAGAGTTTTCAAAAATAATGTGCTGCCTAAAGAGGTGTTAACATTTAGTTTAGTGTCTACAGATGTGTTAACATGTGTCTATAGAGGTGTTAAAGTTTGTCTATTCTGTTATGATAAAATTGGTCCTTCGTGCATGGATTTAAAACATTGGCCTAAAGAAGTTTGTTAACAGTTTTTTTTTTCCGGACATCTCTTCGCCCCTCCCCCCACCACCCGTAGAAAGTCTAACGCCCTCCCCCACCACCACCACGACCACCCCACCCCGAACTAAATAGAAAATATATACTTCTAACAGTGTCCGCCTCCCCCTCCCCGGAAATTTTAGTCCGGCTCCCCCCGAAAATTTCAAGTGTCCCCCCCCCCCCCCCCCCCCGGCGAAAAAAAATATTCAGGAAGAAACAATGTTTGTAAAGCACTGGTCTTTAGTGTATTGTTAAAACAATGGTAGTATAGGCCTACGATGTAAAGAGTAGTCTATTTTAAAATATGTTTTTTCCTTTATCAAAGATGTAGACGTAGAATGTGTACAATTTATTTTTACCGACAGAGGCTCAGGTGGTGCCGTCAGTGTCAACAGTGATGGTGACGTCATCCTCAACCACCCTCTGCCCGCCGGAAATGTCATCACGTTCGACGCCTACGCCTACGACAGGGGGAGAACCCCGTCTCAGCTAAGGAGCGTTAACCCCACAAGGATTAGCGTTAGGTTTACGGTAAGGGCCGAGGAACCTAATTAATTTATCACCCCCTCCCCCCCACCTCCCATCCCAACCCACACTGGAATTCCAGTAAAGTTTATTTAAAGGGACGAGGTGGTTGGTTGATAGAGCGTACAACTGTTAACCGGAACGTCTCGAGTTCCGAACCCGGGCTCGAGTACGTAAAACATCTCTGAGTCAACTCAGCTATATTGGGTACCTGACTCATGTTTGGAAGATAAAAGCGGCTGGGCATAGTGCTGACCACACTGTCCATTCATTTGCCGAGGCCATATAAACAGGTAAATTTTATTTGCCCCATGGACGTTAAGGTTTGGAAGGATGTTTTAGTTGTTGTTTTTTTTTCTTAGAAATTGCATGAAAAAAATCTATTCAATCAAAGCAGCTGACAATTATTACTTTACAAATCAAATGGCCGTGAAATTAATCACTTAATCAGATAATTGATTATGATAACAAGATGAAACCAACAGAGTTTCTTTTAGGCAATTCTTCGGGGGAACAGAGGGAGTAGGTTGCTCCCCCCCCCCCCCCCACACCCAACCCCTGCCCCACCCCGCACCCCAGGAGTAGAACCGATCTCTACCTGATTCCGTCCATCACAGCCGTGCTACACCACCTCTGTACCAATTGTGGTGCCAACCCCGGCTCCAACAGTACCCACCACACCTACACCTACCCCCCCCCCACACACACATACACACACACCCGCACCACCAGGTGTATAACCGATTCCTACCTGTCTCTCTCCACCACAGCCGTGCTACACCACCTATGTACCAATTGTGGTACCGACCCCGGCTCCAACAGTACCCACCACACCCACGACGACATTACCGACAACCACAACAACTAAAACAAAACAGGTAAGTGAATGCGCACCCAGGTAAACCTACACAACTCCGTGCCATACTACACCCATACTAAGATACATTTCATTTTGACCGACCAAAACTTTCACAATAATTAAGTTCTGACTAAGACTAACATCATCCAGTATAAACACGTCATACTCACCATAACGGCATCAAACATAATGTGATCCAACAATATAAAGTCCTTCAGCCCCATACTGTCATCCACCATTATTAAGTCAAACAGTACAATATCGTCACCCACTAACATAATTCATCCACCAACATAACGTCATCCACCATTATAACGTGACCCACCAACTTAACTTATCCACCAACATAACGTCATCCACTAATATAACTTATCCACAAACATAACCTCATCCACCAACATAACGTATCCACCAACATAATTTCATCCACCACCATTAAGTCATCCACCAACATAACGTCATCCACCAATATAACGTCATCCACCAATATAACGTCATCCACCAACATAACGTCATCCACCAACATAACGTCATCCACCAACATAACGTCATCCACCAACATAACGTATCCACCAACATAATTTCATCCACCACCATTAAGTCATCCACCAACATAACGTCATCCACCAATATAACGTCATCCACCAATATAACGTCATCCACCAACATAACGTCATCCACCACCATTAAGTCATCCACCATTATAACGTCATCCACCACCATTAAGTCATCCACCAACATAACGTCATCCACCAACATAACGTCATCCACCAACATTACGTCATCCACCACCATTAAGTCATCCACCAACATAACTCATCCACCTACATAACGTCATCCACCAACTTAATGTCATCAAACACCATACTGTTACCACCATAACCTCACCCCATCATTTCTTCACCACCTACTTCCGTACCCAGGACTCGAACCTCCCTTGGATCGTCATCGCGGCCCTCCTCGGCTCCGTGATGTTGGCCCTGCTGGCCTGCATGCTGTGGCGCTACGGCCGGCTCTGTGCTCACGCCTGCAACAACTTCAGCTGCGAGAAGAAATGCTGCAGACCCAGACCACGCAGGTAAACACTGGGGCTACAGGCGTAAGGTAGGTCAGTGGCGTAACCAGTGGGGGAGCAGGGGGGTAACCGCTCCATCGGGGCATTTTAAAGGGCGACTACGCATATTTCAGCGCTTGCTTTATTTGTCCACAAAAAAAAAGACCGATTGAACATATAAAACAAATACACCGGTGCCCTTTGTAAAATAGGCTACATAGTTTTTTTCTGGCATCTCTCCTGGGTTCGCCCCCCCCCCCCCCCATAGAAATTCCATTGCTCCCCTATTATGTAGAAAATAAATACATTAACCAGTGCCACCCTCCTACTTTATGGAAACGCAAGTGCCCAACCCCCAAAATAATTCGGATTATCGTACGCATTATTCTAATGATGTACTATTTTTACTCACCTTCAGATTGGCCACACCAGTAGCCAGAAGACCAGCAGAAAGACCAAACATTGAGCCAGAGTAAGCTCCCACTTTTTGCTGTCTTCATTTCTTAAGAAATTTTATTTTTTGTCCTAAACCGTATTTTAACATGAGCCGTCTGACTACGCTACCATCTGTTGCTGTCTTCGTTTCTTGAGAAATTTACTTCATCTCTATGTAGCTTTTTGTAATAGTTATAGACTTTTATTTTAGCACGAGCTGTCGTATTAAGCCACCGTCCTTTCCTCTCATAGTTTCTTTAAGAACTTTTCTTTACTGTTATGTAGCTTTTTTCTATAGACCTTATGTTAACATGAGCTATTCTTAACCCCTGATAAGTTGAGTTTTTTTTTTCTATTTGACCATAGTTTAAGATGAACATAAAAATTATTTATGAATGATTTTTTTAATAGAGAAAAAGAGGAACCACCACCAAAAGGTCCCGGATTTTTGTTTGGATTCTGGAAAGAAAGTGAGAATTTTAAATTTACTTAGAAACTTTTTCTGAAGTTCTGCGACGTATCTTTGTAAACTGTAACTTTGATAGTGAAGCTTATGAAAAAACGAGACGACCTAATACAAAATCTCAAGATAAACAGTTGAAGGACTGTCTTTACTGCAGGGTTCTTAAGATTAACTGTTAACTGACTCTCTTAACTACAGGGTTCCCAGACGACGATTTCAAACAAGAGCCCCAGCGGAAGACCCTCCCCGCCCCCGGGGACATGGACGCCCACTACCCTCACACAATCGACGCCGTGGAGGACCCGCTGACGCCACAGGTTCCAGACACGGCGGCACCAAAGAAAAGTTGCGTCATCATGTAGGAGGGTCGAGTGGTGGATGTGAGGGGGGGGGGGTGAGTTAATGTAAGGAGATCGAACAAGTCTTTGCACCTGATTGGTAAATTTGAGTGCTGTCTCTATGAGCAGAAACAGGTCTGGTAGATTATTATAAACGTATTATTATAAACAGCACTGAGTATATAACATTTAATTTAACGTGTAATTTTCCATTATAGAGTAAGCAGCTAGGAAATAATTTCATTATATATTATATCCAGAGGCGTAGCTGGGGGGGGGGGGGCGGGGGTGCGGACCGCACCGGGTGACACCATTTAGGGGGTTGACACCAAGGCAAAAAATAGCAAAATATATAGAGAAAAACTTGAGGGGGGTGCAAATCGAAAGTTTGAGGGCGGGGGGGGGGGTGCAAATCGAAAGTTTGAGGAGAGAGGGGGGTGCAAATCAAAAATTTGAAAGTTTGTTCCCGGGAAGGGTCGATACGCCTCTGGGGGGTGACACCATTAAGTGCCGCACCGGGTGACACCCGACCTCGCTACGCCACTGATTATATCAACACATATTCTTAACTTTATCTACATCATTATCATACCTGTGGACCCCTTGTGGAGCATAACGACGCAACCACACCTCTCTATTGTCCTAGGTTCTGGACTATTCCTCCAAGTTGGGCCACAACATTCCCCCTGCTTATAATCTACATGTAACACAAATTTAATTCTAAATATTATACGAGCTTAACTTTAATGAAAACATTAGGTTTCACCTCTTAAAAATATATTATTATAAAGGCTTGTAACAATTTTAAATTTTTAACAGCTGGCAGTAGCGAAGCAAGGGGAGGGCGGGTGTGGTGGCTTCCCCGGGCGCCGACCCTAAAGGGGTGCCAAAAGGGGTGGAAAAAAATATATTTAACAACTCATTTTAAGCTGAAGTATTAAATTATACACAATCAAAGTGTGGCATTGAAGCAAAAACATGTGACTGGTAAAAAGCGCCACCAACCTTTTTTAAATGGGGCTGGGGGTTATAACTAACGTGAATAAATATAAATGGGAGGAGGCACAACATTGATAGTTTGTCCCGGACACCGGAATGGGTCGCTACGCCTCTGATATCTAGTATTATAACAAAGAAAAAATTGCAAAACTAGTGAAAGAATGCAACAAAAAGCATATAATTCCAGGTATTTATTGCACTTAAGCTTTGCAAGAAGCTAACCACAGCAATCCACACGCACACAGCAAATCACAGCTTTAAAAAAATTAAGCAATCTGAATAGTGAAGTATGGTACACTGTGAAATCACTTTACATTAAAACAACACAAGCTTACATGTGAAAAGTAGTAAAGAAGTTTTCACAAAGTAAATACTACACAGCTATATTTTTAAATCAAGCAATCCAAAATGTAGTGAAGTAACGTATGGTATACTGTGAAATCACTTTATATTTTTAAAAAAAAGACAAACTTGCATGTATAGAAGTAGTCAAAAAGTCCACACAAATTTGCTACTATTTAGCTATTTAAAAAAAAAAAAAAAATCAAACATTACAAATAGTGAAGTATGTCACACTGTGAAATCACTTTACATTGAAAAAAGACAAACTTGAATGTATAGAAGTAGTAAAGAATTCAAAGATTTACTACTATTTAGCTATTCAAAAAAAAAAAAATCAAGCATTCAAAATAGTAAAGTATGGCACTGTGAATCCACTTTATATTAAAACAACACAGACTGCAAGTATAATAGTTTATGGTAGACCATAGATCTAGTAAAACATTATGTTCACAAAACATAATTAATTTATTACACAGCTTTTTTATATATAAAAAAGAGATCAAGCGATCCAAATAGTGAAGTATGGCACACTGTTAATCCACTTTATATTAAAACAATACAAACATGTATTAAAGTTTATAGCATTTAAAAAATACTGTTTCAAATCATTATTTTACTTTGCCACTGATTTATATGTAGGCTAACCACTATCAAAAATTATTTTTTTTTTGAAGTATGCATAAAAATCTTTGGAAATATTCTAATGCTTAAAATGTCTTTATATTTCGGTAAATTTCAAGATAAAAATAAATAAATAAATTATATCCTTTTTAAGATCTCATATAAGTAGATATAAATTATTGTGATTTAAGTCCAAAGTATTAGAATATTATTTAAGGTTATTGTGTTAAAATAATTGTATTACTGATATGATGTTATATTGTTATGTAAACTATTAACCGCAATGATTAAGTCTATTGTAAGTACAACAGTGGCAGAAATTAATCATAGTATTGGCTTGATCCTGTGAAAGCTTTAATTAAACTATCTTTTTTCTATGAAATAGTTTGTCATTTTTCTCAAACCAATGTTACCATTTATGAAAAGTTAACATACCTTAAAAAATGTTTCAGATAATGCTGTTGTAGTTTTAATGTACAAAATGGACAACCATCTTTTTCATCAATTTAAATAAGAATTTAAAATAATAAAAACAGTATGCATTATCAATGTGTGTAAGCAAAATGTGCATCATTATAAATATAAAAATCTTTATAAAATATTTTAGGTAAATAAATTCTTTAAAAATGTGCAGTTCTTTATTAAATAAGTTAAAATATGTGCATTTATCAACAAGTGCAAGATAATAATCTAATTTTTTTTTTTTAAATCTGATTAAAAGTGCTGGAGTATTTAAGAGAATATGCATGTCGTAGGAAAAAAAAAATAATGGAAGCGAGAAAGGTCGGAGGCAGGTGGGGGTGGGGTGGTGACAAAAGCAGTCTCCACAATCCAGGATTTCTTTATTTTATTTGTTTAAAATGTTTTTAATTAGTTTCACGTTTAACCTTGGATGTAACAATAATGACATCAGAAGAAACCACAACTTAAACCTACAACAAATACCAGCAATATTTGATTAGCACACATAATTAATGTGTGATTATCCCTAAATCAAAATTAACAAAAGATTTCTTTTTTTAATGGCTTTAAATCACATTTATTTTTTATTTTACCAGATTACATAACACAGAACAAAACAAAATACATCTGGCTTTATAAAAATGTACATATATTGTTTTCAAAAACTTTTCTATTGTAAAATCCAGTAAGTTGTAAATTTAAACACTTAAAAGTTAAGAAAATCTTCAGAAATAAATAAATAAGTTTGTACATGCCATTAATTAATACTGTATTTTGACAATACTGGAAAATTTTCTTTAAAGGTGAGTTGAGCAAGGGAGGCAATAATACTGAAAAGCACAGGTTTATGGCAAAAAGGGCACATTAAATAGAAAATAATCTCATTTCACATCCCATTTCAAGGACTGAAGATCATTAATGCTGAGATAATAAAAGTGTAACTTTTAGATATTTATAAAGAGTTAAATATGTAAATACTGATTAAGTTTAATTAGAAATGTAGTTACATCAATATGCCAGTAACAATTTTTTCTTAAATTCAAACCACAGTCAGCAGATAATTTAAATATGGTAAAAAAACTTTTTTTATACATTAGTAAAATAAAAACTCCTGCTTACATTGAACTTGAGTACATATATGGGAATAAAGAATACCACTTCAACAAAATAAAAGCTTTCACAATTTAACATCAAGAATAGTTTTACGTAATTTTATCGTGACTTGGAAGGTGCGCAAAGGAAAACTGCGCACCAAAACATGGGCATATGTATTTTTTATTCTTAAATTGAGCATTAAGAATGTCAGCATGTACATAGTAGCATAATAAAACACTTTTCCACGAAATTAGACAAAAATGAAAGTGTATTAGTATAATTAGTTTGCATTTGCACATGTTAACGCAGTTTTCCGTTGCACACTTTTTCGTTTTTGGGTATTTTTCTGGGAACCCATTTTATAAATATGAAAATGGTAAAAAAGAAATCATTTAGGCAGCTTTAAAAAAAAATTGTTGAAAGAAAATTTTGATGATTTAAATACTGTATATACAACTCTTATCTTAATAAGAATATGTAAAACCTTATAAGAAGTCTATATGAGCTTGTAAAGAAACTAAAGTTGCAGATCACAATTATAGGTTAGCACCTCACAAATATTTCAATAGTCCTGTTGTTTTCTATTCTTAAACATATGTTTAACATAGATCACATAATCAATGAGTTGTATAGGTCATTTATTTTAATTAAAAATTTAATTGCTAGAAGCATTAGTTCTAGTTCTTTAAGCAATGCAAATCCATGTTCTTTTTAATCTGATTACAATATAGTTTAAGACCTGTGCAGTCATTTTGTAAAATATTTTTTGATGGGATATAATGGAGATTAACTAATTTATTTAACAAGATGCATAAAATAACTAATTCATACCAAGATTATCACAGAATAGCGGTTTAAATTTAATGAGAAGGCACAATAAAAGTTTGGATTTACAACAATAAAGCTGAAATAGGCTTGCATTCACACTGAGTGCTTTAAAAAATATGTAGCTAGCAGTAAAAGATTTAAAACTTTCAAATTTGTGCATTTTACAGGTTATTTGTTAAAAATGGTGTCTTAAATCTGATAAAAACTTAAGATACCGTCCTTTTGGTTCTGACTTTCCTAGGAATGGGGAGAGCCAGTTCATCTATTCTAGGTGTGGACTGGTACCTCAAGGCACTGGACACGATCCTGTAGGGATCATAGTCGTCTTTGGTTAGTGCCCTTGTTGGTGGCCGAGCCAGCTGTTGTAGTCTAAGGGAGGCAATCGCTTCCAGAGCATCATGGGAAACTGGCCATTGGATTGATCTCGCATCTTTGAATTCCTGGAAAACAAACAATGTTTTACAGCATCTGAATCATAGACAATATTTTATGACATCTGAGTTACAGACTATATTTTTATGGAATTACAACTATATTTTTAGGACAACTGTATTACAGTCAGTATTTTATGACATTTGAATTGCAGGCTACATTTTATGACATATTAATGACAGACAATATTTTATGACATATTAATCACAGGTGTTTTACAGCATCTGAATTAATTACAATATTTTATGACATCTGAATAACAGACAATAGTTGAAAATATCGGAACAGATAATGTTTACAACATCTGAACTACAGAAAAAGTTTAACAGCCTCTGATGCACAGTCTTTACAACATGTAAGACACAGACAATGTTTAACAACTTTAGAAACACAGACTAGGTGTGACAACATTAAGATCTACTGACTATGCTAATAATTTTTTTTATGTTATGCAACCGTAGAAGCAAATCTCCAATCGAGAGTTACCTTAGGGTATCCTTTATGAGCTGCTAGTGCCTCTAGCCTGGAGGAACAGCTGGCACTGAGGGCATTCTTGGACACTGGTTGACTACAGAAATATCATGCAATTATTTCATTTATTTTTTATTATATATAAAAGTTTAACTTCAAAAATATAATTCTTTAAAAGCTAAATTTGAAAAAAATTATAATTTCATAAGTTAAAATTGAAGACAATTTCTTCATAATGCTGGATTTTAATAATTTGGTTTTCGCAAAACTAAATTAGTATGATTTTTTTTTTCATAAGGTTCATTTCAGGAATTATATTCTTCATAAGCTCTAAACTTCGCTAGCTTTGTCTTAAGCTAGATTTCATTAATTTTTTTCTACATGGCTAATATTTTCATAAGCTTAATTACTTAATTTATTAAATTGTGTTTTTTTAAATTAATTTTTAAATTTCTGGAATTTGTAAAAACACATTTTTTTAAAAATATCCAAACCATTATTTAATCAACTGACCTATAACCCCAGAATGGATCTATGCCGTCATCTCCTCTCTTACGTTTTGGTGTTGCCAGCACATCAACACGGGAGGTTGAGCTTGCTGATAATGCCGACCTTTTGACCTCCCATCCAGGGTCACGGTCAAAGAGGTAACTGGCGGGGGGATTCCGGTGTGCACTGAGCTGGACAACTCTGGGTGATGCGGAACTGGACTTGGCACTGTCAGACACTGGCCATATCGCAGAAGGTCTACAGGTGGGGAGATGGTGGCAGAAGAAATTAGTGTAATCAGGTAAAGCAAATCATATTTTAAATAATAAACATAGTTGAATGCTATAGGTTTAATAGAGGGTTTTACAGATTGTGTGATGTAATAATTGTTTTTATAAAACCTTCAGAAATAAAATAAAAATATAAAAACTTTTTTTTTTTGAAGCATTGGTTACTCATAAAATCTCTTAAACATTTTAGAAATCATTGCTTTTGATAAACAGAGAATGTTTATTTTTTGTTTACATTTTCAGTGGATTCAAAAACTTACAATAAAGCTTTTTATATTTGTTTTACTATGAAGTAAAAAATAAATCAACTTTTGAACCTAAAAGTCCATGGGGCAAGTGAAGTATAGCTCACCCTGTTCTGTGATGGTATATTAAGAGATAGTGTGGTCAGCACTGTGCCCAAATGCTTTTACTTTCCTTGACGTGAATCAGGTACCCATCAAAACTGGGTGGACTCATGGACGTTTTACAGACTTGAACCCAGATTTGAACTTAAGACTTTTGAGTTAACAGTCAAATGCTCTACAATTCAACAACGGCATACATCCCTCTCGCTATAGTAGATTAAAAAAAAGGAGGAAGCCTACCTGTCCGGCCTCCAGTGATCAGCAGTTTTATGTCTCGATAACTCCACGACTCTGGGAGTAGCCGCTTTAAACAGAGCAACAAAATTATGTTATCACATTCATGAATAAAAAAACAAAATACCTTGCAATAATTAATGTGGTGGAGTTGTTTTCTTTCATTTTTTTCATAATTTATTAAATAGGAGAAACACAATAACCCCCCCCCCATGTCAATTTATTCCCTAAGGTCATGTGCTATCTACCATTACGCTCAAGATCAATAATTGCTTCCTTAATTTGAACCTTTAATTATCTAAACCCATTATATATCATAAAAATAAAATTAGCAAACACAAATTTAAGAAAGGAATAATATATTTTATCATAATAATTGTAAAATTTAAATTTGTTAATGTTCTATTGATAGAACATTAACATAAAAATGTTAAACTCCACCCTTATAAAACAATCATAATTCCACAAACAATACTATTTCTAATTGTTTTGCCTTGAAGAAATAACAAAAATGCTTTTTAACATTACTGTAACCCACTTCCGAACCCCCTAACCCCCATGTGGCACATCATCACAAATGTCTCAACCCCATCCCTGTGGATTGTGACTTGTGACATTATCTACAGGTGGAATGCAAGAAGACGCCAGATCAAAGTTAACTTACTGACAACAGTGCGGCCATCAGGACCAGGTTGTGGTGGTTCCCTGTCCAACCAGTAGACTGACCGTCTGTATGAAAATTATTTTAATTAATGAAAAATTAATTCATGATATCCACATTTTTTTTAAAAATTTCAAATGCCTCTTGTTTTAATTTTAAATTCAAATATTTTGTAATTCAATTTTTGAAATGTTAAAGAGCTGTTTTTTCTTTCTAATATCATTGTTATGGTTGTGCTAAGATTAGTATTTGGCTGAGATTTAAATAGCCATACCAATATTCATTACATAACAATATGTATGTAAGCAATCAATTTGTTTTATGCATATAGATAGTTAGACTGTTTAAATCTATAACTAGTCCTATTAATGTTGCATGTGCGTCTTCTATTCTAGTCAATGTGTAATAGCCTTTAGGTTGCTATAATGAAACATGTCAGTGGCGTAGCCAGGGTGGGTGTCACCCGGTGCGGCACTTAATGGTGTCACAGGGACAAACTTTCAATTTTCGATTTGCACGCCACCCCTCAAACTTTCAATTCGCACCCTCCCCCCGCAAACTTTCGATTTGTACCTCTTAAAAGACTATTAAACACTCAAATTAATCAATTAAGTGGTATTATCATTTTTCTCTGTATATTTTGCTATTGTTTACCTTGGTGTCACCCCCCTAAATGGTGTCACCCGGTGCCGTCCACACCCCCACCCCCCCCTTGCTACGCCTTTGAAACATGTTCAAGTGTAGCCTAATTATAATAATTAGTATGATATAGTCTACATGGGTTATACATACATGTCTCATCTGTATCATATAGATACATTAACAATGAGGTTTTTATCAAGTAAAATGTTGCTAGTGTGAATAAAGCTACAGCAATGCTAGGGAAATGTATTAAATTCTACTTTGCCATGTACACAGGAGAAGTTTTAAATTTTTAGCCTAATTCTTCTGAAATAAAAGTAAAATACATGTTACCTGTTTTCTCTGTATTCTGGATGGTATCCTCTAGGTTGAGCCAAAATATCAATTCTTTTCGTTTCTGGAAGATGAAACAATTTTAATACCTGTTGCTAATCACCTTTTGCTTCAGTTTGGCTATTTTAAAATGAACTTAGGACTAAGGCTACTTTGAAGTGAAAAATTAGGCATAATGTGTATAAATATGCCAATTAGGCCTATATTAACTCCGGAAGCCCTAGTTACATTTCAAAACAAATAAATAAAAACACACACCCTTTTAATTGGTTATTCGCTGAATGTTATATGAAAATAATATAAGACTACTTTAATAAATATGTAATGTATATAATAGTCTTTAATAGACTCAGTAGCTAGATCTAGTACATTTAAAGTAGAAAAGATCAGAAAAGAACCCACCAAAACACACATTTATCAGTGTCCATTTCATGAATAAACATAATTATTAATTATCTATCTTTATTTAAGTTTATTATAATTTCATAATTTGAGTTTAGTAGGGCCTACTACTAGATCTAGATCTAGTACTAGATCTAGATCTAGTAGTAAACTAAAGTATTATTTAGTTAGTTATATTTGGCCTAACCCTAATAATATGATTATGAGACTAGTTTTATTAATTTATTACTTTATTGGATCTACTAGATCTGGATCTAGCTAGTCGCGGGCGGTTTTACGTACCTAAAACTAAAACGATAAATAGATTACCAGACCTAGATCTAGACTTTGTCTTTAGATAAAAAATTAAAAATAGAATAGATTAATCATTAAGATGTAGATCTGAGATCTAGATCTAGATCTAGATCTAGATTCTAGATCTAGATCTAATTCTAGCAATTCAGTAATTCTAGTTGCAGTGAATACCCACGTTATAAAGTTCGTGTTTTAAATCTAAATTTTTATCGATTATTTTAAAGAGTAGATATATCTAGATCTAGATTCTAGACTCTTTATCAATAAATAATTAACATAATTTTCACAGTGAATTTTGCTTACCACTTTTGGTTGCCGCCATTTTTCAGCAGACGCTGGTTGCTAAGAGAAAATTAAAGGGAGATTAATCTTATATCTTAAATCTATTTAACCTTTCAGTCATGTCACCTAGGCTAAGTTTAAACTTAAGACTCTATATATTTTTAAAAAAACGAATCAAAATCAAACTGAATTAAAATTAAAAAAACGTTTTAATAACAAGCTTTTATGTAGAAAAAAATATAGACAATTATTTAAATAAATATAAAGAAAAGCGTGGGTCACTTTAGTATCTATCGGCAGTGGCGGAACTAGAAAAAAAGGGCCACCCCGCAAAAAAAAAAAAAAAAAATATATATATATATATACAAACACAGAAAACAAACACTGAATACTCATTTCTTGCCCAATCGGGTTTTGAAAAAAAAATGTCTTTTTTTTTTCAATTTAAACAAATTACAACATGTTATGTGTGTGAGTGCGTTAGTCTGTTTTGTATTTCTTCTTTATATTTAGAACCAGTTTATTGAATGTTTGCTGTAATCTTACCTACTCACAGTAATTAGCCGGTCAAAAGAATATAAAACATGAAAGCTTTGTATGTGTAATGGTTTCTCGTGTTATGTTTATTTTTATGTTTTTTTGTATTTATATTATTTGTTTTAAATATATTTCCAATTTATGCTATGTAATTATTTAGTATGTTTTTTTCTTAAATAATAACTAAGAAAAGTAATTTCTTTTTCTTTTGTTTAGTACAAATATATTAAAAGGAGCTTATGAGCACCCCTATTTTACTATTTAAAAAAGGGAAATAAGTCATGGAAGTGTTCTGAACGTTTGCCTATCACTACAGCTCAGGCATATAGTTTGTTTTAACGCAACAGCATGTGTTAGCTACTGTATAACATCACTACTGTAGTAGATCTGTTTTTTATTTACAAAAGCTTTTACCGTCAAGTCAAAAATGCAAGAAAATTATTTTTTTTTTAACTATAAAGAATTTATTATGGTCGGCGATGGGCCCCTAAATGGCGTGGGCCCCCCCGCAATGCGGGGTCTGGCGGCACTGTAGTTCCGCCCCTGTCTATCGGATACCTTTACTAATGTTTAGGAAGAGACCCACGCTTTTCTTTATTGTTATTTAAATAGTAGTCTATAATTTATTTTCTACTTTTTGCTGCATTAGTACATAAAAGCTTGTTATTAAAAGATTTTTTTATGAAAATTTTTTTTTCTAATTTACCAAAGTTATAGAGAGATGTGTTATCAATAACTATTGAAAAATGAAGATATTTTAAAATGTAACAAGCTGCAGTTGGTAAAGCAAACAATGATTTAAAAACCACAGCTAGTTAAATCTTGTAGGATTATATTAGATTGTGTCTCTAAACACTAATTCGATATAAAAAAGACTTTTTTTCTCTCAGACTTGTAATTAAAGCATCCGTTTGCATTGCCATCAACTCATTTGTATTGCCTTTCTCATCAACGACTTGTGAGGATTGATACAAAATTACATTTTTTTTTACTTTTTTTTTCTTTCTTCTTCTTTGAAAGAAGAAAGAAAAGAAAGAAAAAATAGAAAGAAAAAAAGGGGGAAAAAATGAAAAGTAAAAAAAAAATCACATTTTTACAAGCTTTTATTTAACTCACTTCCTCTGTCTGTCGTAAGTCGTCAGTCGTCAGTCTAGACGGAAACGCAGGAGTGAAAATTCGGACAGTTCTACTTGACCGATACGATTCACAGTTGGCACGTGGGTCAAGACATGAAGACAATGCAATCTGAAACTAAATTTGACTTAATTGGATGCCTAATTGATTTTTTATGAATTAATTAAAATTTGGACCGAATTAGTAGGCATGTCTAGCCAACCACACCGCACGCGTCATCAATAGCTGCGCCATCACGACCACGTAATGGCTGCGTTCAAAAACCATTGCGCGCCTACTGAACGTGATATTCAGTAGGCGCGCAATGGTTTTTAGTCATGTAACTCTATTGTAGATAAAACATGTAAAGTACTGAAAAAAAAATTCATAAAAAACGTTTTAATAACAAGCTTTTATGTAATGATGCACTAAAAAGTAGAAAATAAATTATAGACTACTATTTAAATAACTATAAAGAAAAGCGTGGGTGTCTTCCTTAACATTAGTAAAGGTATCCAATAGATTCTAAAGTGACCCACGCTTTTCTTTATAGTTATTTAAATAGTTGTCTATAATTTATTTTCTACTTTTTAGTGCATCATTACATAAAAGCTTGTTATTAAAACGTTTTTTATGAATTTTTTTTTACAAGCTTTTATTTAACTCACTTCCTCTGTCGTCAGTCTTGACGGAAACACAGGAGTGAAAATTCGGAAACTTCTACTTGACCGATACGATTCACATTTGGCACGTGGGTCAAGACATGAAGACAATGCAATCTGAAACTAAATTTGACTTAATTGGATGCCTAATTGATTTCTAATGAATTAATTAAAATTTGGACCGAATTAGTAGGCATATCTAGCCAACCACACCACACGCGTCATCACCTTCAATAGCTGCGCCATCACGTAATGGCTGCGTTCAAAAACCATTGCGCGCCTACTGAACGTGATGTTCAGTAGGCGCGCAATGGTTTTTAGTCATGTAACTCTATTGTAAATAAAACATGTAAAGTACTGAAAAAAAAATTCATAAAAAACGTTTTAATAACAAGCTTTTATGTAATGATGCACTAAAAAGTAGAAAATAAATTATAGACTACTATTTAAATAACTATAAAGAAAAGCGTGGGTGTCTTCCTTAACATTAGTAAAGGTATCCAATAGATACTAAAGTGACCCACGCTTTTCTTTATAGTTATTTAAATAGTAGTCTATAATTTATTTTCTACTTTTTAGTGCATCATTACATAAAAGCTTGTTATTAAAACGTTTTTTATGAATTTTTTTTTACATTAGTTTTACTTAGTCCAGGGGTCGGCAACCTGCGGCTCTTTTGATGTCAAGATGTGGCGCTCGAGTTCCATACAAACATGTTATTTCATTTCCAAAACTCATAAAAAATATTATACTGTATATAAAAAAAACTTTAAACGGGATAAAAACACTAATCAGAGAACAATGAGAATAGGTGAGGTAGAAAGTATACGGACAGCTGACAGCCGCTTTGGCACCAGACCCAGCCCCACAGCAGTGCTGTTTCCCCCCTTGTGACCACGGTTCCATGCTTGCCACTGCCGACTTTTTTCAAATATCGTTCAACAGTGAATGTTATTTTATTCAGAATGCATTTCTTTATCTGATAGTATGCATTAATTAGACCTGAGTGACTTCATTTTTTAGTTATTAGCTTCCTACGGTTGAGCTAGGTACTGGGCGATGGGGTACGAGTAGGGTGGAAGATAAGCCCTGTGTGAACCGAAGGACAGAAGTGACCGATACAGGGTAATCAAAACAATATCCAAACCAGTTAGTCTGAGTTTGCCGTGTTGAGGCCTGCCTGGCGAATGGGAGACACCTCCTGAGCCGGTGATGTCCGTAAAGAAAGACGAAAAATGTATTAGCTTCTAAAATGGATTGGGAAAGTCCTATAATTATATTATGTGATTACTAATTTTATCAGAACAGAGCTAGCTAAAATACTTTAATGTTTTGTGCGAAACATTTGTATGCTTTTATATGAATAAATATTATATTATATATAAAGTTATTTATGTCAAATCAAAAATAACATTCATTCATCTAATCCTAATCATATGCCGTAAGATTGCCATTATAAAATTGTTAGTGGCTCTTTAAAGGTGGAAAATTTCGTACATTGTAACTTTTGGATCTTCCGGAAATAGTCAAATATTAAGTCTTTTTAAATCAATTAAGGAAGCACAGTTATTTTTTTTAAAGCGAATTAGTTACTGTTAACTTACGCCGTGGTTTAAATGTATAACATACATTTTTAAAATATACCAAAGTTTATAAGAAGCAAATCATACATTGTAGAATAAGAGCAAACATCTGTTTTATATATCTCACATAAAGTATACTCCTTAATATAAAAAAAATAAATTGAAAAGATGTAATTCAATATTTTAAAGAACTGCACCAAAGAATGTCAGTTATTTCCCTTGCTTTTGTTATCTGCCGCTCTAATTACCGAAAAAAAAACAGCGTATGTTTCGGTGATAAAGGCCCGCCATGTCTTTTAATGCTCACTTTATAACTAATAATTTAAAAAAAAAAAGTTGTATAGCGTTACTAGCTTTAGTTTGAGACATCAGTGTTAGACTAAACACGTTACAACAATAATATCTCCATAAAAGAAGTTTAGATATTGTTACTTTTCTTGAGTTAAAATAAATATGCTAATTAGCTTTCATGTTTGTAATGGTAGATTAACACAAAGAGGGAAACAACTTTTACAAGCTTTAAATATAAAGCAATTATCGAGTTACCTACCTTGCGTTGGCAACGTTCGCTCAATCACTCAATCAGCTCTTGTCATTTAAAAGTATTTTAAAAAATAGAGGGTTTACTACGAGACAAAAAATCCTCCGAAAAAAAAAATTAAGTCAAAATACATCATCAAATTAAAACTACAATTATTTCACATAGTTGGCCTACCTATCTATAACATTCCCACCCTAATCCTACTTCACTAAATTTCACCACCAAAACTTCAATTGGTAGTGGTGCTTTACCGTTATATTTTGTAACAGAATTACATACATGTGTGTTGTCGCCTACGTCAGCTCTTGACCACTCTCTTGACCAAGCCGTAAGAGCCTATAAAATTAATGACTCAAAATCTTTTCTTCTTCTTAATTTTAGTATTGGATGGGATCCCCTCCAACACAATTTATTATTCGTGTCAAGTGTTTTAAGCGCCATTGAAATCATTGATTCCGATTTTCTTTTTGGATTAGCTTAAATAGACTTTGCCTAACCAAGAAAAAACAAGGCAGCAGTTGTTTAATTTTGAAGTTGTCTCTCCTAGAAGGGTGGCTGTCCCCAGCTAACGAGCCTCATCTGACCGAGGGTTCGAACTCCAGACTTTTTGGTTTAGCAACCACGAG